CGCGGTAAACCCCGCTCGAGAGTTACTTCCCCTTGAAAATTACACCGGATTTCCTAGACTCACGATTTGAAGATAGCTTGCCAGGCAATATACGCCCACTGGCAGCTTTGATTTTGAATAAAGATATTTAGCAGTACAGTAACAATCACCAGTATGAAATATTCAACCTTCATTCGCACACTTCTTTTGAACTCTTTAGGGTGATACTGAACAATATTGAGTATGAGTTATTGCTCTGGTTCTTGAAAACGTGTTCAATTTTTAGCTCGTGAAAACTCTAGAAGACAAATATTCAATCTTCAGCGCGGTACTGAATAATAAAACCAAGTTTTGTCAAAATCTGGTAAGAATCATACCTTCTAGAGTTTTTACGAGCTACAAATTAAACGAGTTTTCAAGAACAAGGGCAATAACTCATACTAAATATTTTTCGATTTTTCTGCCTTCTAGAGTGTTTACAAGCTAAAAATTGAACGTGTTTTCAAGAATAAGGGCAATAACTCATACTCAATATTTTTCGATTTTTCTGATTTTCAATAGGGTTATCCTTGGGCGATTGCGGACACTCACACCAAGTTTCGTCAAAATCCGTCAAGAATTGTGCCTTCTAGAGTGTTTACGAACTAAAAATTGAACGCGTTTTCAAGAACAAGGGCAATAACTCATAGTAAATATTTTTTTATTCTTCTGATTTTCAATAGGGTTTATCCTTGGGTGATTACAAACACTCACACCAAGTTTTGTCAAAATCCATCAAGAATTGTGCCTTCAAAATTGAACGCGTTTTCAAGAACAAGGGCAATAACTCATACTAAATATTTTTCAATTTTTCTGATTTTGGATAGGGTTTATCCTTGGGTGATTACAAACAATCATACCAAGTTTCATCAAAATCCGTCATGAATTGCACCTTCTAGAGTGTTTACGAGCGTTTCAAGAACAAGGCCAATAACTCATAGTAAATATTTTTCGATTCGTCTGATTTTCATTAGGGTTCATCCTGGGTGATTACAAACAAGCATACCAAGTTTCATCAAAATCAGTCAAGAATTGTGCCTTGTAGAGTGTTTACGAGCAATTGTGGATGGACGGACATGGGTGACGGCATTATACGCCCCCCATTTCATGTGGGCGTATAAAAATCGCTTAATGGGTGTATTAAGCGTTTTATGATTAATTACATGATTTTGTGGATATATCGGATTATAGAGGGATTCTGATGTATAGTTAGGACACCAGGTAAATTTTATGTTCATCCTTAGACGTAGTATCCCTTTAAATATATCGGAATAAAGAGCAGATCCTGTTTCTTTCTTTCTTGCTGGTATAATAATGATTATGGAAGTGATTAATCTGAGGTATTTGGCATATGTTATAACATGCATTACATCCCATCGCAATAATTAATCGCAGTTTAACAGACATTCCCAAACATTATCATTCAAATAAAAAAAACCTACGGTGATGATTTTATAGAAGATTTATAAGTGAGCTCTGTTTACAACTGTTCGGGAATAAATCTATTCCTAGCCATACTTTAATCACTTTAGTAAAATAAAACCAGATATAAAATGCTATAAATTTAATTCTGAATATTTTTGAAAGTTTTTGCCGTCTAATAAAGTTATTTTGGGTGAAGGTGAAGCTGTAGTTTATGGCTTTGTATGAAAAAAAGACATGTACTAGTATTGATATCTTATAAAATGAAATAATGTTAAATGTTTTCATCGGTTCGGCATCTTATTGTGCTCAAGACGTGTAGATTGGGTTGATCATTTTTTACTTATGTTTGAGTTTATGTCGGAACATCAACTGTGTGTATTGCACTTTGCCAGATAGCTAGTACTTGTGTAAGGTAACGAGTTTCTTGCAATTTCTTATTTCTGTCTAAATATTTGATGTATCGGAGATTCGATTATCTCAATTTCAGCTGTCTGTAACTATCCAGAATTTAAATACTCTCTCCATTTCCTCTGCAATTCAAGCAAATATGTGCCTTGTAAGCATAGACTGTTGTTACTTCCAGGACGTTGTGAACATCCTCCTGTGAAAATGTTACATTATTGGATTTCATGTCTCTCCCAAAGAGCAAATATTTAGATGACCGTATCCCTTTATTTCACCTGATGTAAAGCTCTCTTCAGTAAGAGTTTAACATTCTTGGATTTTCGCAATTTAGTATTAACTACTCGAGTGTAATTGTGACCGGGTTATAGAGTTGACCTTCCAGACGACACGATGTCATAAGCTACATAGTACATGTATATAGGTAATAAATTGTTAGATCTTATAGACTAATTTAATCATTCATTAATTGCTCTGAATTAAATTACCGACGGCTAATTAATTAAATAATATATAAATAGATTGAATAACTGAGAAGTTCGTAAACTTTATTCATTTGAAAATTGAAAATTTTACTGAAGTACGATCGCTTTTAGTTTAAAGATTTTAAAATACTCTTTTCTGTCTTGAAAAAACAGATCAACATAATCAGATGAATGATAATTGTATATAACTGTTAATAATTCTACTGTTTTTGTGATTGTAGTTTCGTTGTTTTTAGTTTCTTTTGTAATATATTATGTTGTGTTATTTTGAAGGGCAAAATTGTAAAAAGGCCAGGCCTAATTTTCACCCTAATGATGATTTTTTTACAATTTAGTTGTTGGTAGTAGTGTCAGTTGGAAGAGAGATTGTGAGCAGTTGAAAGGTTCGGTACTATGGTTTGGTATAGTTGAGACATTTTCAGATCTGGTCGCATGGAATGCCTTGGCGGTGAAACTCGGTCCTTGGCGATGTGTTGTGAGTTACTCTTCAGTCTCCAGATACTCGTTGTGATCAGGGTAATTCTTGTTGAATGGTAATCTAAGCCTTATTCACCTTTTTTATTAGGTATATGCCGACCTTCTCCTTTGAGAATAGCATCACAGGTTACTGCTTCATATGATGGAGTATTTCATTTTCAGGGATTGTTTATAGTATATAAAAGGTTATTAAGTCGGTAGAGGTGGTTGAAGAGTGCGCTGGCGTAGGGTATTTTTGGAGAATCTCGAATGCAAAAATTTACTGCCAGCAAACCAAAAAATGAAAGGGAAGGGTTTATAACTCACTGGTATTTTAGCTATTGGCTGCTGTATTAACCGGGCAATGGATTTCTATCTAATTCTGAGCTTAATGTACTCTTTTAGGTCTAAATTCACTAATTAAAATAGGTATTAGGTTTACATTTATCCTTCATTGTATATTGATGAAAATTTTGAATTGGAAGATATATTGTAAGAGGTACTCCCAGTTGATATAACTGAACTCAATTAGACCTTAATGAGCATTAGTTTGTAATTTATTTAATCTTAACTTGTGACCTTGACAAATGAGAACCTGCGGACATTAACCATTTTGATATCCCTATCTTGGCTGGAATGAACTTTTACTGAAGATTAATGGTTGACCTAATGACTGACGGTTAAAGTTTACAGATTTTACACATCAACATAAGACGAGGCTAACAGTTACAGAACTCTCTTAGTACTTTTGAACAAATTTCTGGACTATTGACTCTTAAGTGGAAATACGTAAGACTTGGGATTTTCGACAATATTAAGAACAATGCAAAATATCGAGTGATATACATGGAAAGGAGGTGTGTATGTAGTTTATAATGTACTTCTGTAACCACAAATGAGATATTTGACTAGGAAGTAATTTCAAGTTTAAAGATCATAAAAAACATCAAATTCTTTATTTCACTTTATTTACAATTAGTTCTGGTAGTAAAAACGGATGGAACCTTAACACGAGCTCAATTGTTATAAAACTCTTGTTCCGTCTTGGTTGTTGTGGTTGGTACTATTTTAGTAACTAGTTAATGTGAGCAAATTGACAACTCGAGTGAAATGATTCCAACATTTCGAAATCTTATACTTATTTCTATAACCCCGTGACGTAAACGTTTTTACAGATCTAATGAAGATACACACCTCAAGTTCGACTATTTTTTGTAAAAGGTAATTGATTTTTGATGAATGTGGTGTATCAAGGTTTTTAGATTACTGGGCGTGATCTTTCACATGCGTGAAATGATGAGAGATCAAGTTGATATGATTTTGATCTTAATGTTTGTGGTTTCAAGTTGATGAGGTTCTCTGACTTGTCTTGTTGGATTTTAACAAGTTGTGCGTCTTTCAATTCAGAGTTTATTCTATGTGATTCTATTGTGCACCGCTAAATTACTTGAACAACATTTAGAGAATCTTTTTGGATGATAATTGTATTGCACAAATTTGATATCAACAATAACGAGTTCTCGTGCATGTTTATTTTTGTAGGACATAAAACTACATTCATTTCATTTCATTTTAAATGTTAATTTAATGTGCAACGCTCGGTGATACAACGTACGAGTTGTCTGCAAGAGGATTTCTTGGGTGTCTTTTGTATTATGCAATTGGGATGTTAATAGTTTCAGTATTTTCGTCTGACCGAGTCTAACAGATAGGAGGTTTTCTGTATACGAGAGGTCTTCATAATGGTTTATTATATAGTGCAATACTGCTTAATGGTTCGGGATATTGAACTGCCAAATAGTGAAATTCTTTCATTTTGACTGTCGAATGAATGTAAAGGAAATGTAGCTTGTTACACGAAAACCATTTCTAAAACTTTTTGCGGTTGATGTTAATGTTGTTGTTACTGGACCAAATCTCTACTCACACTAGTCCTTTTCTATTGGTCGACTGCACAAAAGATATATAAACAACGATTGACATTCCTCCGAACACCATGTGTTTTGATCCGATTCGATACCATGCATTATATTCGATTCATTATGATTATAACGAATTTAACCTGGTGTATCTAATGCGCTTGAATAACTTTCATTTAAGAATAATGTATATACTTTTTGTATTTGCAGATGTGACCAACAACATTTTACAGAGATGAATATAACGGGTGAACTTGACGATCCGTTATTGAATGAAAGTTACATAGTGGACCCAATTCAGCTGTACTCAGAATTTGCTCCAGAACGAATATGGGTGGACAGATTAGTGACCCCTTTTATGTATGCTATTGGATTCCCAGGGAACATTATATCCCTGATGGTGTGGATTCAGAAACGGATGCGACACTCCTCAGGATGTTATTTAGCCGCATTGGCCTTGGATGATTTAATCTTTCTGTGTCTTCATATTGTATACGAGGTACAAACTGTGTGGGGCATCAATGTGCTCAATGTACAATTTGTATGTCAGGCATATCCGGTTGTGTATATGGCCGTACAGTATTTATCGCCCTTGTTAGTGCTTGGATTTACTGTGGAACGTTACATTTCTATTTGTCACCCATTCAAAAGAGAGAAATTCTGTACGACCAAACGCGCTAAAATTGTGATAGTCTTTCTGACGATATTAGCCTTTTCCATGAGTTGTATTCAAGGATATTTTTATACTCTATTACAAATAGGAGACTCCACCGAATGCGGACCACGGTTTGTGGTTCGTGATGGCGGAACAAGATCCATTTTCAATGTGTGGAATATCTGTATCGAAATGTGTGTGTTTTTAGTGATACCGTTAAGCGTTTTGACATTAAATATCATGGTAATACGTGAACTCAGGCGACTGTCGCAGGTTGAAACTCAGAAGCTTCATGGGAAATCGCAAAGGACTTCTGCAACAACGATGATGTTGCTTGCTGTTTCATTTTATCAAATCATGACTACGTTACCAGTGACTATTGTTTATGTGTTATATTTTGAATTTCCGGAAGGATTTTATTCGTTAACTTTCAGCCAGGTGCGTGTTGATCCAACCTGGCAACGTCATTTTCGCTATGTGTTGATTCAAGCTATAATAAATGAATATGGGACTACTCACTATGCATTTAATATTTTCATTTATATTATTACGGGAAAAATGTTTCGCCGTGAAATGAAGAAACTGATATGTTGTTGTAAAGGTTCTAATATATCGAATCCGTCCGAATATACAAGTTTGAGAAGCTCACATGGCCGTGGAAGCTTGAAGGTAACGACAGCATGGACATCGGTAAATGGTCACAATGGTACCAGTGTGGACACGGAGACTAAGGTCTGACCTCGTGTCAACGAGTATTGGTAATATTCTGTCAGTGCCTTGCTGAAGATTACCTCTTCACGTTAAATGTGCTTCGAACTGGTCCAATTTAAACTTTGCTTAAATCATATTGATTATCTGATGACCTTACTGACTAATAGAACATAAGTTTATATATCAGTGTGATATGTTAAAGCCGTTTTAAATTAATGAAATTATAATGAATTGATATCAACTTAAACAGGTGCTGTTTATGATCAAAATATGACTATAATAGAGGTATGAATACAATGTTTGTTAAAGGGGCAGTCGGGAAAGGTTGTAAACTGCTCAATGAACAATAAGCACACTTCGTTTTTTAATTACAAATTTAAAACAATTCAGTCTGGTCAAGTAGAAATAAATAGCAAATATTTAGACATCTTTTCACTTCCAATTTACGTGTTAAATAATGACAATTTTATATACTGTCCCTTTAAGATAAGAATTAAATTATTGTGTAAGTGCAAAAGACTACTATGTTGTTCAAAGACGTTAACTATTCATTGGTTGTAACTTTAGCTTTGCAACGATGTCAAATAAAAAAGATTTAAACATTAGTAAAATGTAGTATGTGTACTATGAAACATGTTTCCTTTGATGTGTGGTACATCCAACTTTCTCTTTAGAACTAAAACATTTTCGTTTAAATACCATAATAACGTAAGGATTATAAACTGTTATGTCAGCTTCATTTGCAACTTACGGTTGTTATATAAAATACGTTGCTCTCGGTGGTTTAATTCATTACATAGTCATCTATTCATTTTCGTTCAGTTATAATCAATTAATCAGTTGTATTCAATGAAGTCCTTTGGCACGGTTCATGGCCCAACCCACGCAATTGTTTTGGGTTACGCATCACTCACAATGGAATACATACTACAAGTTCAATCAGTTATCAGATTATATATTATATTAATATGTTTCTTTTATCAACGACAACTGATATACTGCTAAGGACTGAAAGATTAAACCTATTAAACTCCATTATTTCATCTGGAAATACTAATCAATTAAGCATTTCGTATACAAACTTAGGTGCTTTTTTAACGGTTTTTACCCTACAACTAAAGGGAGATAACGCCAAACAGAGCAATCTAAAGTCCAAAATGATTTTACTATTGGTGTTATATCTGTAAATAGTTAATTAAAACTCTTGACAGTATATTTGGAATGGCCTAAATCACATAATGCTTTAATAGACATTTTAGGGGTGTGTGCAATATCGATTATTTGGGTACATTTGTAGATTATTGCCATTCCAATCAAGTTGAGTTTTTTTTTTTCGATGATTTTCGTTTTTCGAAGCTGCAGTTACACTCGACTATGACAGAATGACATGAAATTCATGCATTAAAGTGCACTACATCACAAAGTATTCAGCAACAGGCCTTTGTATCAAGGCTAAAAATGCAGCAGATTAATTCTGTAACTGTCGCTTTAGTTGAATGATTTAGAGTATATTAAATTAGATTATGTTTAATATTGATGTTATATTGTTTAGTTATGTTTATGATTATTATTTTGTTGTATTTTTGGCTATATTTGTAATCATACTGCGCATAATAAATCATGTTACCAAATACTCTCTGAGTTGTTGATAGCAAAATTCAGGAGTCTATATGTATGTATATAACAAGAGTTTTTGTGTGCTATTTCATTCTTTTTAATATTTACTTAGAAAATTATTTGATGACAAGAATCGCTTTACAATGCCCACAAAATCAGAAAACTTGTCAGGAATATCCCCATCAAATTATTATAAATATATGTTTAGGTCTATTTTTCATCTTTCTTTTTCGGGTTATGTTTAAACTGTGATTCATCCCCTCTGTTTTACACTGTGAAATCACTTTGAAACCATATTTCAAATTAACACCGTAAAATTTACCGAGAAAAACTAATCAAAGGGCAATAACTACTCTGGTAGTTTTATTTCTGCCTTAGTTCTTTGCTCTGAATGTACAATATTAACGCAAGGCTAACGATAGGTAAATATAATATAATAAAAAGAGTAATTATTGTTATTATATAAAGATCTCGAGGTCAATTCATGGTTAGCCACTTTTGCAGAGATTTGAACATGTACCAAGGGAGATAAAAACAAAGCTACAAACGGTATTCAGGTCAAGTACGGAAATGGAAGGAATCTTATTAGAACTTAAACTATTCTTATGTAATTTTGGTGACTTTGTGATTTAGTCCACTGTTCATACCCCCATTCCACTAGACGGTGATCTATGGCGTTTTGTCAGAGTGCCACGATCGTCAGAAGCGCTACCCGATCTCTTGTGGATCTTTATCAGATCTCCATAATCGCCAAGGTCTTTGTCAGTCAACTACCCTGCACAGAAATCCATGGCGCTCGTCGTAAGTATCCTTGTTTCGCCTTATCCTTAGGAGATCGTTGGCGCTTCCAGATCAACAAGACCACTGAATCTTGCGGTGTGCATTAAGGTACAAGTTTGGGTAATGAATACTTTGAGGGGCTTTCAATTTCGGCATGAATTGGCATAATGAGTTTAAAAGCATCAAACCGTTTTTAATCGATTAATATGTTGGTCCTTGCAGAAAAGATGCAATGTAATCTATTTCCCTGCTAAAGATGTGTCACCGATGTCTTCAAATGGCACTTGCAGTCAAGGTTTGTTTTAGTAAAATATCGTAGGAAACAAGGAGTCCGACATATATGTTATCATTTTTTTTATCTAATAGAAATCTGTCTGAATTCTCTTCTGTATTTGAGTCTAATTAAATAAAAATAAATGAAGTACTTTAATGTTCAGAAAGCATTGTTGTTCCCCTCTCTCGATCTTATGGATAAGGAATGTGCAACGAAACGAAATGTACTGACTTTTCTTGATAGTATAAGAAATCCCACTTTTATTTAGGTATATTTACATAATAATAAGCAAGTCCTCGTGTGGTTTTCGAAAATAATTGACTTATATCAATCGACTTACGTCAATCTTTACGATCAGACCTGGTAGGGGAGGCAACTTGACTTCCTTTGATAGTAAGATATCCCAAAGGTTTATTTCCTTATATGAAATTTGTCTTCGACAGTAATCGACGCCAGTCAACATTCAGTTAACAGCCAGTCTGTTAAAGGAAACATTGCATAAACCAGTATTGACTTTCCCGGACCGTAAGAAGTCTCCACTGTAATCGAGTCTATTTCCTGATTAAATAATCAATCACTCCAGTAATTAATTGTTCCAGTCTCAATTATCTTTCTCCACCTGCTATTCAATAGTTCACGTTTCCACACATTGACGTGTGTTATTGGAGGTCATATCAATCACGTTTGGTCAGTTCTACCAGGAATTATTCATGGTAATGATTAAACCTCAATTACTCTACCAGGAAATGTACAGACTAGGAATACAATGTTAAATTTATATAGAAGACAGGCTTTTGATAAATCATGCAAATGTGAATCAAAAATATACTTGGTATTTCCTTCCTATAGCAACTATATTATTTATGCGACGAACTGGCTTTAAAAATCGGGAGAGCAATAATGTAATATACGGATTATAATGATGTTCCATTTAAAGTAGATAAAAAGGCGCAAAAATTGAGTGATTCTTCTCCACCGTACTTGTTTGAAATTTGACCAGAAACAGTTCTCAAATCGAAAGAATTCAGCTGCAGTTCGAAATTTGTGCGGATAAGAAACACAAGTCGAAAGAGTGTCAAATTTAAGATATAGATACATAAACTGAACTTATTGCTTTGAAGCTGAGTAGAGCTGAATACTGTATCATCCTTGTGAATACTACACCCTACGAATAACTGTCATCGGATTATAATGAAATAGTCCAAGTGCTGAAAATGTGGCATCTGATCTGTTGTCTTTTACCTTAAACATAAGTGAATACATCTATCCTACGAGCTGAACACATGTATTTATTTTATATGCGATATTTATATACCGTTCTAGTTAGATACCGCTCTATTCGAATACATATAACATCATAGCTTTTTAAATATTCAACATATACCCTCTGAGCTGTATAAATGTACCCTCTACATGATAGTTATAAATAATAAATAAATTTATGCAAAGTACGTTTCGGAATGTCGTTTGGATATTCTATATCAGACAAATTAAAAGACCTAAACACCCTGTCTGCTGGAGGAACTCAATAAAATCTGTGTAATAGAAAAACGTTATGTTTGGAATTGAAAAAATATCCATGGTGATCCCTAATCATCCAGTTAACTTGATAGTAAATTAGCTTTTCTATAAAATAGAGTATTTTATGAGATAAATTCTTTAATAAGATTTGGTCATGGTGTGTAAATATCCTCGAGCGAACCATTACCAATAGCTTGTTATCGTACCATCATCTCTTTCATCATCAATGTCAGTCTTGAATATTATTTGAATATTAGATAGGATGACTGGAATGGTTGTTTCTATGCTGTAATAGACCAATACATCGTTAGAATGTTCATTAGTTATTTCTAGACTAGTCATTATCTCAGCCAGTATTTCAAGTCACGGTGGTGTCGTGTATCTATTGAAAGGATGTAATAAAAATTCGACGTCCGGTTCCTTAAAAAATGTACTGTGAAAGAATGGACAGAAGCCACTTTCAGATCATTGACTACCGATATATATCTTAAAGTAAATGGTTAAACAGACGAAAAGTCTTTTGATCTGTAACATAACTTTCAATAAATACGATTTGAGATCGTTTTGGGTACTGAATGAAATGAAAGTACTTCAACAGTTCAACCCCTTACAGGGACAGCGAATTCGTCTTACGTTGGACAATGAACCTTATAACAGAGATATAATTTGAAGCATTGAAAAGAATTTCAAATTCCTGGAAATGTATTCTGTCTTTTTCAGTTAGGATGTGTGTTCGCCTTTATTTTAAAATAAAAACACACATCCTAACTAGCACCTACCAATACTCCTCAGTAATATCTGTCCAGTCCACTGCTGATAGTTTATCTAACACTATCTGATGAATTGAAGACAATGTCTTATACGTCGTCTAAGAATGATGGATCAATGAAGCACCGTGCATTAACTTTCTAATTTCGGGCAAATTCTCGCCAACAGATCGAACGTAGTCGTGTTAAGAGGCAATAAATCAACGGAACTGGTGTTGGTTCTCTTCCTGTAAACTTATTGGACTGTGTGCTTACACCACTAACATCTAAAACTGATGAAACTGTGGCAATGTCACGGCTAATCATCATTTTGTGTAATAACGAACTTGGCTATGGGAGAGATTTATTTGTTGATACAATCAACTGGAATTAACAGCGTGTTGGACTGATTGTATTGGCGAGGCAAGCAATACCATTAATCAATTGATCTCAACAAGAATATTGAAAGTTAACAGCGTGACTAAGTTTGTTTCAATAGCAGATTTCTCTCAAGTGTTCCATTCAAGCAGAGTCAAAGACACTCAGGACTCTACTTCACTAAACTTGTGTGTTATTTTACACTGATCAACTTCTGATGGGTAATTGTTCTTACTGACGCTGTAAATGAATGAGTCAACAATTTAAGGAGCAAGAGAACCAATTTGAAGAAGTTAAACATTGATTTGATAAACTTTTCGTTAACGTTAAGTTTTTTTATCAGAGGCCATAACCTAAATGATCAGCACAAGTTTGACTGATGTTATGATTTTGATATTATATTTTGAGAATGTTCTCTGTTCACATATTTTCATCAGATGAAGATCATATCCTGTACGAGAACACACTGTCTACACAGAAACGTTTAACTTAATCAGTTTAATACATTTAATGTTCACAAACTTTAAAAGAAGATAAGAAAATGAAAAAAATAATCTCCCTTTAGTGTTATAAAACAACAATAGCTGAGGGATAAATAAACTCGGATTATATGAAAACTTCTCAGACGAGTGTACTGGCCTCCTTGCCGTGAGAACTATAGACACAAAATTATATTGGTCGATCATTATTGGATTTTTAGCTGTAACTTTAGTATTTGAATGGGACTTGGAGCAGTGATTTCAGGAAATGCGAAGCTAAAGTGGAAAATTTGAAAGAAATTAGGTTTTAGCCTGTAGAAAGAACGGCAAATCATTTCAATAAATGACTTTATCAATAATCATATTAATGTAGTGTGCTCGCCGTAGGATATCATATTTTATGCCAGTAAATGTTTCTACAAGTGAACCCTCGACCTTTCGCAAATATCTACAGATAGTGAGCGGTGCAAGTCGTGTTGGCTGTACGGTGAACCGGACAGATTAATAACTATATTCTGAAGATGTCTATGGATAAAGGCTATTGTTTTTACCAGAACTCGAACATTTTGTACATCGCTACACTAATGCATTTTGTGTAACATTATGCTTTGTATTTAAATATGAAATTAAACGAGTCTTGTCTTACTTCGAAGTTTTAAAGTGGACACTAAAATAAGTGGACAGAGCTATTAGTGAAAAATAAGGATAACATTCAAAATGTTATAACGAAGCTTCAGTGTATTCATTAAAAACATGATATTTACAGACAACCAATATTCTGATATGGTTGTCAGATTATTGGATACATTTTGTCTGTGATGAATAATACACTGTAAAACTGATGAATTCTTCTAGAGTATATTAAACATGTTTTTGAAGATCATCGTTCAGTTTTGATTGCAAAGGAATTCAGAATTTTTTCCCCGATACATTCTCAACCTACTTCTATTTTGAAGAGGATAATTATTGAGGCTTGGTTGCAAAATACATCGAGTTTTCACCATTCCATCAAATTCTGTGAAAGTCTACTCAAAAAGTGCCATACATACAACACTAAGAAGATCGTTACTTTTTTTAATTTGAAAATAATTCTGATTACTCAAACTAGTGCTATATATAACATTCAGAAGAACATCGTTGGAAAATAATTCAGATTACTTGATACAATCAGTGAAATGGAATCGTTTGTGTTGATTGATATTACACAATCAATATTTGTGTATAACTACATTAACTATAGTTAGATAATACAAAACATATTAATAACTAGCAATCATAATGACCGGTTAGAGATCGATATATTCGGAGTCTGATGATATTGGGAATAGTAAGTTGGTGCAGTATCGATTAGGATCAGATGATCACTTCTCTAATAACAACTAACAACATCAGCAGTGTAGTGGAAAACTTGGTGATTGTATATTGTCTGTCAGTCAATGATGCCTATAATATATGGAGATTATTGCTGACTTTATCATACTAGTTATAGATTGAGAGATACCACAAGCATCACTTGCTAGCATGTTAGGTGGGATGTACGAATATTGAGAAAGACAAGTGAACAGTTTAGGTGACTTTAAGAACTACCCGGTTGCTGTTTTCTGTATCTGGTATAACGAAATATTAGAGGTGTTCGGTACCATGGCTTAAGTGATACCGTGTGCATTCATAAGTTTTGAAAGAATTCTTCGGGTTATCTAACTTAATCACACCCTTCAGATATTCTTAAAGACGAGCGAACATTGATAGTACTTTGCAGGATGGGTTTTTAAAATTTTACTATTTAGTCTCTTATGGAAACGTTTATTAAGTGTTGTGCTTCGATTGACTTCATTTCATTGAATGAAAGGTTATCCTGCTACGTTAAAACTCTCCGATACTTTTATTGCTTTACATGAATCTAGCATAAAAAGTGGAAATAAAACTGACCATTGCGTGACATTAGTGTGTTGTGAAAGTGAGGTTCTAAATAAAACATAACAACAGAAGTTCAGAAGGACTGGAAACGCTGAGAACACTCATTTCGCTCAACTGTCCGTGACTAACAATCGGTCATACAGTTTACTCAGAGAACGGCATTTTTGTCATAAGTTACTGGACCATTGGCGTTAGTGTGTTATAGAATTATTATCATTCTCAGTGTCCGTATCGGATAATTATGCTACTCAAAGTTTTATCTATTCTTTAGCGCCGAGAAATAATAACCACACATGTATTGGATGAAAGGATTAATATATATTATGGATAACTGAGTACATGTCATATCGTCCTGACATAAATTATTAAAGATGTTTGTGTTACTCGGGAACAATTGGTACAATATAAACACTGTTTTGCATGATTCTCACTATTAGTCAATCTATAATCTTTGGATGTTAGGATGTTAGTTTTCACCGAGCAGAAGACGGAAACAGCAATGGTTTAAAATCATTTTGGAAAATAACAAACACACAAACTAGTTTTATTCTTACTTGCATCTGCTACATTCGGCGGGTAAATTTATTGCCTATTCTATTAGCTTGTTTTATCATGATTGAAATCTTGGAACATTTCCATGTCTGATCATATCGTGAAGACATCGCTTGTTTACTTTAGACGAGCCGAGCTCCGTTCTTTAAGAATTCATTGCCTAAATTAGCATTTTGTTTCGCAACAAGTAAACCGATTGTTGGCACTGTGTGTGTTTCGCGAGTCAATTAGTCATCCCCTATAACGAACAAAGAAGTTGGAACAAAAGTTTATATCGTAGGAATTCGTAGTTTAAGGAACGGAAATAAGTTGATAATGTGCTAACAATATGGAAGTGTTTACGTTATTTCGGGTTTGTTTGTACATGTTGAAGGTGCCTCTGATTTTAGTAATAATCACGGTCTTCTTTTCAGTGTATCAGATAATCTGTTCCTTATCCATGCCGAGATTATCTGTTAATCCTTATATTCATAAAACTAGGATTAAAACGGATTTAAATACCGAAGACATCAAAATAGCATTCGATGTCATGCCTATATCTGATTCCTCTATCTTCCCCGAGATATCCAATATATCATTATTTAGGAATATTTCTCAAATTGGCCAAATCAAGACGAGTTATTTCTATGATATGACATATTCCAACATTTTTATGTATTTCCAACCAATAATTACACACGACGAAAGACATTTTATGCTGTATACTTTCGAAATCTTTATTCGCGCATGTCAAAAGGCGAATATTACTTACTTCCTGTATGGAGGAACGTTAATGGGTGCTTACAGACAACATGGAATGATTCCGTGGGACGATGATATTGACGTCATGTTAAACTCTTCTGAAAAGCGAAAAGCCAGAACAGTATTATCCAAAGTGCCAAATTTCGGTTTGTTTTCGCCTCATAAACGACAGTGGAAGTTTTATCACAAATCATTAAGAACCCTCAGTCATAAACCTTACCGCTGGCCGTTTATAGATATTTTCTTTTTCGCGGAGAACGACACTCATATCTGGGATACAGCACTATCCTACAGAGACGAATTTGTGTATAAAAAATCTATAATATTTCCTCTACAGTATCGGCCATTTGAAAAGACTTTATTACCAGTTCCATGCAATATATTAAAAACATTAAAAACTAATTACCTCGTACAAGTGTGTTCTACAACTAATTTTCTACATAAACTCGAATCAGGAACCCCTACTCGGTATAAAAAGAGGGTCTCCTGTAAAAGACTTCATGAGATTTACCCGTTTGTCTTTCGTCATGAAACTTATGATTCCATTATAGAGTCTATTTTAATAAATGGCACCTTGATAAAATCAGCAGTACTTCCAAAATATTGTTGAATTGTGAAAAATGTGCATGAATGTGACCTTTACCTATTTTAGATGCGAATATAAAACGTCAATGTGAACTTGATCTGTCTGAATATAGAGCAATTATATATTTATATGACTCGAGTGTTTGAATGTTAATATCTGCCAAATTGTGTTTTGTTTCAGTGTACGGTATGTATTCAAAATAAAACAAGACATTTCTTTTCGGGAGGGATCGGACTTTTTCTGAAAGTTCCAATATAATGTGGTAATATATAGTAGTAATGGTTGGCATCACCTATCTGGAAATTACATCATATATGTTGTCTAAATGTTGGTCTAAATTTAAAATATAAATTGGCCCCATGCTCTTAAGTATTTAAACATGAAAATCAAGAAACGTTTGATTGTGTAATCCAGTCTTAACGTATAATTTTTATTGTGTATCAAAAGCAATCAAATTGTGAATATATTATGCATATTATTGTGTTGTTTATAATTGAGAAAATACTTAACAATAACTGTACAAATGGTTACAAATTAAAATCATGTCAACTTTATTTCTAAGCGGAGTATTTGCCAAATAAAGGGGTTTTAAAGGTTTTTTTTTAGCTTATTATGAATACAAGAGCCATGCATTTCAAGTAATTCAAACTTAACCACAGACGTGAGTGGTTCCTGTAATCATAGAAATAACACATAATAAAACGCTAAGTTTCAGTGGATTTGGAATGAGCAAATTGATGTTAGCAGTGGCCTTGATACAGTTAACAAAAATCTCGTAAAATTTGTGAAATACTAATATTTCGAACTTTGCTTTTCTTTGCGTCGACAAAAGTTAAATGATTTTTTTGATATTGTGAACATTAAAATATAGTTATTTTCCTATTGTCAAAAACTCGAAAGATAAAGAGCTATTGGTAAAGGTAAATTCATATATTAGCATTAAGCAATTTATAAAATTGTTGTTCCGTAGAAAATAACCAATGGTACAAAATGTTTGTATGTCTGTGACAGAATTGATTTACAAACTATAGTATATATAATAGTTTATTCAATTGTTCTAATGGCTTACCAATAAAGGAGTCGCATGGGTTTTAAAGACTGTTTTTAGTATATGTACTTGTATCTAACAATTTATAGCTGCTGTTTGCATCAATCTTATTGTCGAACAGCCTTCCGTGGGTCCTACAATTTTTGAACTACCTGATATCGCTGTACTCTTATTAATCATCGGTCAATGTTTTGGGGACAGACGTGTGATTTGTGTAAAAGGTGACTTCATAACAAATAGTCTATGACCCTCTTTTTAAACGTCTAAGATCTAAGAGAGAAATGTAGACTAATTGTTCTTTTTCAGTAAATGACAACCATAACTGACAGGAAGTGCTCGACATGTTCCAATCATCACATTCTCTTAACTGCTTTTCAACGTGGCTTGTTTTCTACCACACTATTTCCTTCACTTTGTTTCGATCTGAAAGGGTTAGGGTTTCGTTTTTCTGAACTTGTCTAAGGCTTCCTCGAGATCAGTTAACATCACTAACGTGAAAAAGCGGAAATATTCTAGAAAAATTGCAACTGATCTTTCCGTATCTTGCGATAATCATGAGGGAAATATTCCAGTTATGTCTTTGGATTTAATAATCATGAGGGAAATATTCCAGTTATGTCTTTGGATTTAATAATCATGAGGGAAATATTCCAGTTATGTCTTTGGATTTAATAATCATGAGGGAAATATTCCAGTTATGTCTTTGGATTTAATAATCATGAGGGAAATATTCCAGTTATGACTTTGGATTTAAATTTTGGATTTGGATAGAGTTGTGGTTGACTGCTTTAGAATTGGAAAGGATAATTGCAGAATCAAATCAATATTTTCTTGATATCATAACATCTGCAAGTTCAACTTTATAAGTAAATCGAAATTCAAAATCGCGACCATCGAGAAATATACAGCTAAATGTTGGCTTTGCTTTAAAATCTCGGAATTATCGCCCCTTAGACCGGTCAGTTTGGAAGCCATGTTTATAATTAACAGTTGGCTGTAATAATAAGATGAGTGATTCAATCTTATTTCTATCAGTTGGAACAATAAAACATCCTAATAGAAGTGAAATAAGCCTATTATCATGTTAATAAAGCCATTATCGTCTGCTTAATATTGTCTATTATTATTCAGAGTTGTTATACACTTCTCAGATTGGGATGAACTGGCAAAGTTCATGTGCTGTCAAAGATAAAAGCATCTCAATAATGTATTGATCCCTTCATGCATTGGATTATCACATGGAATTTAATTACTATTGAGTGTTTGTTAGTTTTATAGGCTGCGAGTAATATTGATATTAGGCCAATAAAATACAAAAGGAATAGACGTAGAGCACATAACATATGTCCGCGAAAATGAGCACAATAATCTTGTGTTGTCAGTTTTCAATTTTGCTATATAGAAGGCGGCATCTCCTCTCCAGTTATTTGCCAAGTTTCACACGTGTAACATTGTTCTGGGTTTTTTTTTTTACATTATATTAACTTTGCGAAAAAGGATTTTATTTTTGCCTTCCACTGTAACAGTTAAATTCGCTGTTCCCAGCAATAGAGTGTAATAGTAGTTTAACATGTAAGTCCATAGTGATGCATAATGTAAAATGATAATGGTTACCGGTAGTAAAGTATCCTGTTACTGATAAATTGGTCGGATTTCCTCCAAATATTCTCAAATACATCACGCTCGTTGATCTTGTAACCATGGTAACTCCAATAACTTGAGTTGTTTATGAATTATAATGTAATTATGTTAAATGCATGAGGTCAACGATAACTCTCATTAAATAAAGTTTAGGCACACCCAAGGGAGGTAATCATATTAAGTAGAACTCTTTAACAAAAAAAGATAATAAATGGTCGGTGTTAGGCATTGATTATCTGTCATGTTTGGTTGTTCAGTATAGATAAAGTAACATCCTGATACAACTCGTTCTTAACAGTTTTAAACAAATACAATGGTCTGGGCGATGAAATGGCAAAATAATTAACACGGTAGGCGTCTCGTTAAAGGCATCGACATAATGAACTTATTCCAATTTCATACTGAGGGAAAATACTAAAATAGCATCTAATCTGATTCGCCCTCCCATTGTATACAATTACTACTGTTGCTTAGAAAAAAATTGCGGTTTGCTTCTGCTAGCGGAAATCGCAGTTTGCTTCAGCTAGAGGATATCGTAGCAAAGATCGAACGGAAAGAATGAAAAATTGCTGACAAAAATTCGGTCAAGGAATGAAATATAGAACAGTGGTGGCTTTATTTGTCTATTACACCAACTATTAATATAGAATGGTGTGAATTGTGATTAGGCGTTATAATGATTTACCATATTAACATACATTCAACAGCATTTTACTCCACACAAGAACATGCCGTGCCGTTACGAACAATTTGCAGTATTATTGCAGACTACAAGCCATTCGAAAATACCACAAATCCAATTATTTATGAAGGCATCAGCGTACATTATTATCTCCAACAAATTCATTTTGACAAGTAATAACATTATTTGAATAAATAGAATTCCTGAAATTAAATAAACCAAATATTAGCTTTAAGTGATTATTGCTGTTCTCAAAGTTCTTGGAAGCCACCAGGCTTCTAATATAACCCCTTAAGGCCAGTTATTGGTTTTATATTTCATGCTTTATTTGACTTGAGAAATGGCTACATCAATTCACCTTTGGACAGTCGTCTGTAAGTTCAACCAATTATCGAAGACTAATTGAATTAGTGTTGGTCATATGACCCCGAGAAATAACAAAGAAAATGGTGTCTTGGATTTGCCAAATTGTTTCTCTAAATCGTGAAAGGAGACATAATGAGAAAATTTGAAAAAAGTCTGAAATAACTAAAATAGGTTTGTTGACATAAGAATTAAAAGTCGATAACACTACTGTATTCCTGGAGATACAAAGAAGAGCTTTGGATGATAAACAATAAGAACTGAAGGGATTACAAAGATGTTTATATTAAAGAAGAAATCAAATATAGTTAATCGTGACAGTAAACACCCATTGACGGACTCCACCGTCTACTAAAACCTGATATGCAAATGATTGTTTACGAATATAGTCCATGCTTTTTTGAAAAATCTTCTTTCTCCTTACCTTTTGGAGTTTTTGCATGCCTAATTTTGACTAATTTGTGTTCTAGATGTTGAATGTCTGAAATTGCATTTTCTATCAGATTTTGTGAGATGATGAGAGATTTTCACTAAAATATATTACTAAAAATTGTGTGCAGTGACAGTCAAGCGGATGTTTATAAAATGTAGTGGTCTGCTTTCAGTTTAACTCTCTCAAGACTTTCATGGTCGAGATTATTGAATTTTTATCCAGAAACTGCAGGGCAGGGCATTTATGCGACATGTAGGAAAGTTTTCATCGAGATTTCTTGGAAAAAGTTAAAAGAGGTTGAATTTTGTGATTTAACATGGAAACAGATGGCAAATGAATTAACGGGCTGAGTCCTGACACGAGGGAAATTAGGCAAACCTAAGTTATCCTAATAAGTCTCGCTGTCCAGGATAAGGTGACGGTTGGTACTGGCGAAGATTGATGGAAAAATTCCTCACAATCAATAGCGTAATAAACCTAACTCCTAGCTGCCTTACAATTTCAATTAAATCTGTAGACAAACTAAGGCTAATCAATAAATTGGCTATAAACTAAAGTTAATCACAGTCAAACTTCCTACATTCTCTAGAAAATTAGAATAGTTATCTACACGTTAGTACTGGGAATTAGACTTTGTGTATTGATACTGTATAAAAAGTGTTTTATCAGCACTGACGGTGGAGAGACAATATTTGTTATGGTACTTATAAAAAAAATGCGCATAATGGCGGTATTGTAGATTAAAAATTCAATCTTTTTACAAAATAATAGACTTTAGTAAAATAACACTTATGACCAGTATTCCTGAAGACACAAAGAGAAGGCCTGAATGATAAACAAAAAGAACAGAAGAGATC